AGAGGTGGGCAGATGAGAATAGAATGGAATTCAATGCAGACAAGTGCAAGGTGCTGCATCTAAGGAGAAGGAACGTGCAACATACCTATAGGCTGGGGAACACCCTTCTCAGCAACACAGAGGCTGAAAGGGATCTTAAAGTCATTGTTGACTCCAGGATGGACATAAGCTGCCAATGCAAAGAAGCGGTCAGTAAGGCCAACCGCACCTTGTCGTGCATCTACAGATGCATCACAAGCAGGTCCAGGTAGGTGATCCTCCCCCTCTATGTGGCACTGGTCAGGCCACAGTTTGAGTACTGCATCCAGTTCTGGGCGCCGCACTTCAAGAGGGATGTGGCTAACCTTGAGAGGGTCCAGAGGAGGGCCACTCGCATGGTCAGGGGACAGCAGGCCAGGCCCTATGAGGATAGACTAAAGGGCCTGAATCTATTCAGCCTCCACAAGAGAAGGCTGAGAGGGGACCTGGTGGCCATCTATAAACTTACCAGGGGAGACTAGCAGAAAATAGGTGGGGCTCTGATCCCCTGGGCACCACCTGGGATAACAAGGAATAATGGCCACAAACTGATTGGGAGCAAGTTCAGGCTAGATATCAGGAGGTATTACTTTATGATTAGGGCTGCCAGGCTCTGGAATGGGCTCCCAAGGAAGGTGGTGCTTTCCCCTACCTTGGGGGTCTTCCAAGAGGAGGTTGGATAAATTTCTGGCTGGGGCATTATGACCCCAGCACTCGTTCCTGCCCAGGGCAGGGGGTCAGACTTGATGATCTATTCAGGTCCCATCCTTGACACTCCAAATAAAACTGTTCACAAAGGTTACAAGTCCAACAACATACTTGTAAACCTCAGTGTTTTACACTATCTTTGTGTATGAAACAAAATCCTTGTATAAGTTATCAGAAACAAATCAAAAGTTGTTGCTGACCTATGCTTTTTTGTTGCACTCATGGAACTTAAACTGAATTAAGTGACAAAAAGTTAATAATAGGTGAATACTTTGCATTGC